TTGAGTATCAAAACGGAAATTTTAGGTGAAGCTGCACTGTCTTATGAGTATCAGGCATATTCATTCTGCTTAATGTTGAGACCGCGCTCTTATTTTTGCCACTTGGTTGCCTCGGCCTCACGATGCTATCAGCCACATAACGAAATACGATCCATCGCCATGAATCATTCTTGAAGATGGGGATCACATGGTGCAGGATACGATTTTGAATTAATCGTGCCAAGAACCCATCCCAAATCAACGCCTGCAAAGCCGCCCCGAAGGAAACCAAGCCACCTTGGGACCAATTGCCCGTAAACAAAAAAGCAAAGCCGACGCTATCTACACTCGCCAAAGCCCCCCTCGTTCAGGAAGCCGGCGCACCAGCCTTGAGCATCTCCATCTCAGGCAGCGTGAAGCCGTTGCCGAGGTACGCAAAACGGTTCTGCCTGGCGTTCTCGTATGTGTAAACCCAGTCCTCGCCCCTGAAGTGTTCCAGCATGCGGATGAAGTGCATCCTGCTCCCTGGGTGCAGGCCCGTCACGGGAGCGTTCACCTCGCCCTGTTTGTACCAGGATCTGCACCCGCCCGTGAATGCCGTGCGAGGCATGAATGCGGCGGTGTGCTCGAAATAGTCCTCGACGGCCGCCTCCGACGGGGTGATTGACCGGATGCTTTCCGTCTGGCACTTGCGGATCGTGTTGGCGATGTAGGTGGCGATGTGCTCGCTAAGTGTAAAAACATCACCGTGGGCGATGGGTGCGTTGGGACCAAGGAACTCTGAGGCTGTTGTTAGAAAAGGGGTCCATATAGGCGGGGTGGAGTTCGGCTCACTGAAGTAATTGGGCAGGCCTGCAACGGCGAGGGACATGTACGCCTTGGGTGTCTGCTCGGCCCAGATGTCCTGCAAGTTTCCGTTCCGGCCGGTGAGAGGAAACGAGGGGCGGAACGAAGAGTCGAAGCCGGTGGCACAGACAATGGCATCAACTTCGAGGACTTGTCCGTTGTTCAGCTCGATCCCGTTGGCCACGAACCTCTTGATAGCATCCGTGTGAAGAGAAACCTTGGGGTCGTGGAATGATTCGAGATACCCGGGCGCGGGAGTAAGTCGCTTACAACCCAGCGCAAAGTCGGGTATGAGCTGTTTGCAGAGCTTCTCGTCACCCTTGAGCATCGCCATCATGAACTCTTTTGTCTTGCCCAAAGCCCACTTCTGCTGGGGACTGCCAGCCACGAGTGCTACCGCGAACTTAATGTTGGAGTCGGTTTCCAGGGTCTTTGCAAACTTGTGGTAGAATTCCGGGTCGTTCTTGAACCGCTCAATCTGTGCTGGCGAGAAGCGCTCTTCTTTGTCCATCTCTATTTGCTGCATTAGAGGGGCTGAAGGGCCCATCTTCATTGTTGCCACCCGTGGTGGGATGATCAACGTGGGCGTCCGAATGATGTGATGGAGCTCCTTTACATCTGCATCTAGGTGAGCCCAGTGTAACGCCTGGAAAGATGAGCTGGTGATACTTACGAGGCCGAATGGCTGGCACTATCTGTACACCGGACGCTCCGTTACCGATTACAGCGACCTTCTTGCCTGCGTAGTCAAAGTTCTTGGGCCAGTTTGCGCTGTGGATGAGGGTGCCCTGGTAGTCTGAGATGCCCTCCACGTCTGGTAATTTCCACTTGCTGCTCGAGTCAGGATCCGCAGGTCGTCATTATGGAGGAGAGTAACATACTTGAGAATTCCTGTCGCATCCACGACAAAGTTGGCATGGTCGTTGATGATGGTTCCTGTTTCTAGGTCCTTGATTTGCACTTCCCAGACGGCCTTCGACTCCGACCATGATGCGGCAACGATCTGGTGCGACGTCTTGATGTATGGACGCATATTTTCATCGTCACATATCCGGCACAAGTACTCCTCAATCTCGGCGGCGGGTGCGAAGAAGCTCGACCATGCAGGGTTAGGCCTCCAGGAGAACTGGTAGTTGTGGCTGGGCACATCGCACTTGCAACCCGGGTAGCGGTTCTCGAACCACGTGCCGCCGACGTCCGCGTTCTTCTCGTAAATCACAAGTTCGTACGTCGAGGGGCCGAGTGTATTTCTGAGAGTGCGAATCATGTTGATCCCGCTGGCCCCGGCACCGATGCCGATTATACGGATTGGGCGCGGCGTTCCGAACGGCGCTTCGCGCACCGTGTAGGCGGTGTTGCTGCGGACCGACTGGCCGGAGCCGCTGCCATGGCCGTCAACATGCCGTGAGAGTTGGGGGATAAGTTGGCGTGTCATTGTCGGTGTCGTTGTGTTGGAGATGGCTGGGTGGGCAGTGAGAGACGGAGTAGATGGTTTATATCTCAACTCAAGCAAGAGGCCTATGCCGAGGAAAGCTCTGCCAAGGTTTTGCAAGAGCTTCCTTATCAAGCAAGGTGCAATCCCGTTGAGCGTTTGGTGGGGTTACGGAGGAGAGCGTAGACAGAGGCAGTGACTAGGAAAGCAGGGCCGTTTGACAGGCTTGGTGCATTCATTGGTTTGTACGGAGAGCAGCCAATAAAGACACAGGAGCCCATGGAAGAAGCAAAATATGGGATGAGACGGGCGATGATGACAACGGAGGGAAGAAGAAACGAGAATCCATTGACATGGATAGGCCCTGAGAGACATCGCCCGGTTCAGCAAGGCAAGGACGGGTAAAGTCTGTCTGAGGAGAGCGGCTGGATCAACTAACACCACGACCACACCACACGACTTTGGCCACCACTGCACACAATCAACTAGCGCAAAGAAACCCTCGTCACAGAGCATATTAAGTCAAAGTCAAAAGAGACAACTCACATGAGACAAACCAGTGGAGTTGAGTCCATCCAATGGATGGGGTCGCCTCAATTGAAGCCATGTTGCGTGGGGTCTGTAAGGAGAGCCACTGTTGGTCGATTTACGACAAGCAGTTTATCTTTCTTGGCTGGTGGAACGGCAGAGCTGTGGCTGCACGTATCCAAAGAGCTTGGAAACAAGGCTGGCCGATGAGGAAAACGACAGTATGGCTTGCTTGCACGCTTGCTAGGCTTGTTACGGTCAAGCATGGTTTCGATTAGCATAGGGGCCTTTACTGGATGCAGTCGTAAACTGTCCAACCACGAGGAGAGACCAGGTCGAGGGTCTTTGGGAGCATGGATCCAGTGCGGTGAATGGCGAATCAGGACCCTCGCCGTCCTGATGGAGGAGGGAGGTCTGGAGCCGCAGCTGGATCGTGGCAAGTGCCGGGGACCAAGAAGCTCGGTGGATGCTTCGCAGAGCCTCCATTGGGAGATGCCCTGGTCCTGCCCCGTAGCCATGACGATAAAGGGCATAAGATTACAGGATCGGATCCTTGATGCCTGTGTCAGCAAACGGCATAGGCCATGGTAACCCAAGTGCCGGCGGAAAAGCGCGGGATATCGTGGTGTCTGGTTGCGCGAATCGGAGGGTAAAGCATCGTGAAAGGGTCGGACCCAGTGTCGATCGGCCGCGTGGACGGGATGCGGTGCAGCACATCCTTTTGGCGGAGGGAGGCTGTCTCCGTCGCGTTTGCTGACCACTGAGACACGAGATCTGGCGGGAAGCACGAAGCACAAGATGCACAAGATCCTACGGTGTTAAGATGCGCAGGGTTGATATGCGTGGGTGGTGTCTGGCAGGCAGCTGCAGCTGAAGCGTGCAGCAAGGACGTGCATGCTCTGCCAAGGATGTGATTGAGGTGCCGCTCGGCGTGGGACTTTTCTCTTCTCTGTCTCTCCCATTGCCCTGCTAGAAGGATGCAGAAAGACACGCGGACGGTTTAGTTGCGGAGGCACGGGGGCCATTTCCGAATGTCGGCCTATCAAGACTGCAGCTGCGCCCCTTTGCCGTCTGGTCCTTGGCCAGCTGGGTCAGTACATAAGCACGGGGGCCGGAGACCGAAAAGAGAATCCGAACGGACGGTAGAGAGAGAAAGACATTGTTTCTGGGAAGAGGTTGCCTGGGGCTTGCGCTGCAGAACGCCTCTTGCAAAGGCTCTTGCTCATTGGCTGCTTTGCGATTGGATGTTGGTGTTGGTGTTTGGTGGGTGCAGATGGAGACTGAGGCGATGGCAAATGGGATGCGGTCGTTCCGTTCGTATGCATTCGACCAGTGAGCGGTCGACGTCCAGGCCCAAGTGCTGTGTACCGGAAGTACATTAGCGCTGCCCGGCCCAAGCGAAGTATCGGATACTTAGTACACAGGCCTCAACTGTAAACTCTACAATCACAAAACCTTCATCCAACAACTCAACATCAAGACCGACCAGACGTCACCAATTTAAACCTTCTGCCATTTCAATTCAGTATGCTAATAAGGCGAATAACCGCAGCAGACCTCTCCCGGCGTCCACGATAAGCCGTCTCCTCGCCAAGACCTTTCACCTTTGTCCAGAACGAGCTAGCTGCCTAATGTGAGCGCTCCAGTACATGGCGTGGGTGGCAAATCATAGCATTCATCTTGAAGATGTGATTCTTGGGTATGAATTGTCGATGGGTTTTTCAACAATGCCCGTTGGAACCGATCCAGATCCGGAACTCGACAAAGATGGCTATGGTATTTTGCACAATCGCTTTCTTGGCAGTCAAGTCCGTCGGGACTGAAGAAGAGTCCAACGGTAGCCACAGCTTGTTAGTTTCAGGTCGAGAACAATGGGAACACTCCTCTGTCGAGAACCCGAACACCATCGGCGCAGTCCTTTCAAGTCTGGGCTCATAGCCACCACGCCATAACCGCCTGGCACCACGCGAGCGTCCCGCCATGTGGTTCAAGCCTGACGACGTTGGCAATAGTCCCAATTCCAAGTGGATGGTTGTTAGCCATGCGAAGCTTGATCATGATCTCTAGTTGTCGATCATTATGGCCATCGTGTAGAGTATATATAGATACTGCTGAGTCTCTCAATAGCACGTTCTAAGTTCAAAGCATCAGCTCGTTCTTTTCTTCGCTTCCATTCCTTCGTTCTTTACAGATAGCACACTCCCTTCATTTCAATATGCGCTCATTAACCATTCAAGGTCTTGTCCTGGCCCTGACTGGGCTGGGCAACGCCGTGACAATCTCGAAACGCAAGCTCTCAATCACTACCAGCCGTCCCGTAGGCTTCAAGTATCTCGGCTGCTATGCCGATTCTCCCGGTAACCGACAGCTGGCTCGTGCCAGTTACGTCGACTACAGCCGCATGACGGAGGAATCATGCATCGCGTTCTGTTCGGCCAAGGGCTTCCCATATGCCGGTGTCGAGTACGCTTCCGAGTGCTACTGCGACTATTCCCTGGGCCCCCTCGCCACAAAGCAGCCCGAGTCCGACTGCAACTTCGCCTGCACCGGCGACTCTACAGAGCCTTGCGGTGCCGGAGATAGACTCAGTGTCTTCACGACAACCGCTGCCGCCGCCGGTCCTGGTGTCAACCCCGGGCCGGTGGGCTGGGCCTCTCTAGGCTGCTATAACGACAACATTCCCGGCCGGATCCTTGCTTACCGTACCGGTGTTGCGGCCGGCGACAGTCTCATGTCAGTCTTACAGTGCACCACCGCCTGCAAAGCCGCCGGATTCTCTCACGCCGGGGTCGAGTACTCTTCCGAGTGCTACTGCGACAATCAGATCCTTGGCACCGCCACCGGTGGCCAGACCGGCTGTAACATGCTCTGCTCGGGCAACAGCACGGAGTATTGCGGCGGAGGGAATTTCATCAACGTCTACAAGTCTTCCGCAGCGCCCAAGACAGCAAGCACCGTGCCCGCGGGCTGGACTGGCCAGGGTTGCCTGAAGGACAATGTTCTCGGCCGCGCTCTCGGCGTTGGCATGGCTGTGGCGGGCGGCCCCGCCAGCATGACGGTCGAGAGCTGTGTCGCTGCGTGTTCCGCCGCCGGATACCAGATTGCTGGTGTCGAGTACTCTCAGGAGTGCTGGTGTGACAACCAGATCCAGAACGGAGGCGTGCTGACTCTTCCGACGGATGGCTGCAACATGCCTTGCAGAGGCAACACGTACGAGACTTGTGGCGGCTCGAACCGCCTCAACATCTACGCGTCTTACAACCTGAACCTGGCCCTGCCCTCTAGCAGTTCCTCATCCACGGTTGCGTCTACTTCGTCTTCGAGCAGCACGGTCTCCTCTGCCTCCTTGACGTCTACAACATCTGGCTCGTCTGGGTCATCAAGCCGCCCTAGCACCGCTTCTAGTACTTTCAGCAGCACCACGCTCACTTCTTCTGCCGCTATAAGCACACTCTCGACCTCGACCACTCTACTGACCACCTCTTCCTCGTCCGCCTCTTCCTCGTCCGCCTCTTCCTCGTCCGCCTCTTCCTCGTCCGCCTCTTCCTCGTCCGCCTCTTCCTCGTCCGCCTCTTCCTCGTCCACGTCTTCCAGCTCTACTTCCAGCTCTACTTCCAGCTCTTCTTCCAGCTCTACTTCCAGCTCTACTTCCAGCTCTACTTCCAGCTCTTCTTCCAGCTCTACTTCCAGCTCTTCTTCCAGCTCCAGGTCAAACCCTGCAAGCTCTTCCTCTACCTCCGCTCCCATCTCTTCATCCAGTTCCTCGGTAAGTGAACCCAGGCATAATCCGATGCAAAGAAGTACCCCATACTAATGCTTCACAGACTGCCGCTACCTCGACCACAACCACTTCATCTTCCGCCAGCGGCGCCTGCGCCGCTCCCAGCCCAACCAGTGAGTTAACCCGATCCTATCCCTTGGCAACTAAAACTGACTTCATTCTAGTTGCAAGTATGTGTTCCGCACCCGCTTGAAGAAAGCTTCCGGTTACCATTCCATCGACATACTAACCTGAACGTTTCCTCCAGGCGGCCCGTACGTAAAAAACTCCGGATGGGACTACGGCACCAGCAACTGGACCATCACCGGGGCCGCTACCGGACGCATCGTCGGCGACGGGTATCAAGCCAGCGGCTGCGGAGCCCTGTAAGTCGCACACAAACGTCCCCCCCACGCACGACTAAATTACCTTCTTACTGACTGCTTCTACTTTCTTTCAGCCTCTTCGAATCCGCCGCAGGAGGTCTCATAGGCCGCTTCACCCAAACACTGACCCTGCCCCCCTCGGCCACGGCCAAGAAGAGGATCGTCACCGCATACATCGGCCGCATGAACGAGACGCCGTCCTCCGCCGGGGTGCCGACATTCGGGTTCGCCTGGGACACTTACCCCATCCCGGACGTCTTGGTGTGCGGGTCGACCAACAACCCCTGCAGGAACGTCAACACGCCGCTGGCGACCTACTCCAAGTACGCGTGGACGTTCAACATCGCGGGCGGCACACATTACATCATGTTTGCGTTTAATTGGCCCAAAGGGAGTGAAAAGGCGCCTGTTCTGATTGATGACATTACGGTTGTCGATGCGTAATATTGGGGGGGTTGGTCAAGTTGACGAACGACTTTGTTAAAGCAATGCATTTTAAGTGAAGAACAAGAACGAGAATTCAGAATTCAGAGAAGCGTGCAGAAATTGTGACATGGATGCTCATCTCTCAGCATTAGTTTAACGTCTCAGTCACCCTCATACCCGCCCTCACTAGTCCTCTGGGTGTTCAAACTGTGGGGTTAGAATTGGTATCGTGCAACTTGAGTGAACATATTGAGCACGGCTCTGCCGGAAACTTATTCGAAAGCCTACGAGTGACCCAGATTTAAATACTCACGTAGCATCTCAGTCGTGTGTCGTGTACAAATACCCAAAGTGCAACATCATCGCCCGGCGAACCTGCAACGAGGCACCGGGAAGCGCAGCGCACCGACGTCGTTGAACACCGCCCCCACATTTTGATAAGCCAGCTTCTCTTCCCTCACGACTTTCTTATCGTCGCGAAATTTCCTACAACCCCGCGGCATCCCACCATCCCCCTCCCCCCCAAAAATGTCTTCATCCTTCTCCTTCGGCTTCGGCGGCGATGACATAGAAGACGACGCCTCTCCCGCCCCGGCCTCCGCGCCCGCCGGCCCGGGGCCCGACAACACCCCGGCGCCGCCCGCGGCGGCCGCGTCGTCGTCATCGTCCGCCTTCCCCGTCCCCGGCAAACCCCAGCTCCCGCCCACCGGCCACGACCTGAAGCACATGCTCGCGCAGCTCCCCTCGAAAGTCGCCTTCAGCACCCTGGACGTCGCCCTGGACGACGGCACCGCCATCGCCATACCCCGCCGTGAGCTGTGGGACGTGCGCGTACAGCTCATGGCCGAGGACGAGACCGCCGCCGGCCCCGCGGCCGAGGGCCTCGGCAGCCACGACGTCAAGACGGGCGTCTACGAGGGCGGGTTTAAGAGCTGGGAGAGCAGCGTCGACCTGGTCAAGGTGCTCGCCAGCGGCGGGTACCTTGATGCGCTGAAGCAGCGGCCCCTCCGGGTCGTAGAGGTATGAGAGGACTTGCGCCGGTTTAGCGTGGAGTGGCGATCGATGATGATGATGATGATGATGATAAGAAAGGGGCTAATGTGATTGACGGCACAGCTTGGTTGCGGCACGGCGCTGCCATCTCTGGCGATCCTGCAGTGGGCAATGAGGTATGCGACAGAGAGGTCGCCGCTGCTGCTGACGCTCGCCGACTACAACCCGACGGTGCTGCAGCTGGTGACGCTGCCCAACTTCATTCTTGCGTGGGCCCTGGAACGGAGGGACCAGAGCCCGGCCCTGCAGGAGGCGTTCGCGCTGGAGGACGAGCTGGAGCTCACGCCTGAGGTGCTGCAGCAGTTCCAAGACTTCCTCGCGTCTTCGCACATCTCTCTCAACTTCATTTCCGGCGGTTGGTCACAGGAGCTGATCGACCTACTGTACGAGAGCCAGTCCAAGCTGGACCAGCAGACTTACGACAGGGACAACATCAACAAAGACTTTGATACCCTGCTCATTGGGGCCGAGACAATATACTCCCCGTTCGCCCTGGAGGCATTTAATGAGATGGTCTTTGCTATTCTTAGCAAGGAGAAGGCGGAGCGGGGAGGCAGCGGCTGTCAGTCACAGGCGCTGGTGGGAGCCAAGAGGCTGTACTTTGGCGTCGGGGGTTCACTCGACGACTTTGTGGACAAGGCCAGAGGGAAGGGCGCGACGGTGACCCAGATCGCGGAGGAGACGGAAGGTGTCCGGCGGGGAGTCGTGCGCTGCACGCTGAGTTCTTCCGGTTAATAGAACCATCGTTCCAGTCCAAGCTGTCGGGTGACGCTCATCTGTTTATGGTATTTGTTTGCCACCGCCGGGACGATGCCGTGCGCGATTCGCTGCCTTATCGAACCTGTGTCTTGGGAGGCCACGAATGCTCTGGCGCACCGGCGCGAATTGGGTAGAGGTCCTTGCCGTCGTTGAGCATTCTAGGGGAGCCAAGGAAATTTCCATGAGGTGCTGGCAGCTGGCAAGGCGGAGGGTCTCGGGCTGTAGCTGTGAGTCCTTTCGGAAGGCATCCATCGTCCCAGACATTGTCGTAAGACGCGGGGACCTGTGGCATGAACCAAGACCTGTCGACGAATGCTGGGCACGTGAAACGTCAAGCCTGATTGATGGGCACGGCTGTGGCGTTGCAGAATGTTCATCAGCCTGGCTTTCTCTTGTCCTGCATCTGCAGCAGCCACGGCGTGGTACCGAATCGAATCGCATCACATCGCCAATTCCAGTACCGGCATTCCCGTCCGTGGCACCGGATCGCGGCCTTGTACGTCACCCAAGTCTGGGCTGCAAACTTTGGGGGTGATTCGGAAGAATATCCATTCCAGCAGGGTGTCATGTTGAAACGCTCCTTGAGGCAGAACCAGGCTTCGCTTGTCCTTTTTCGTCCGGCCAAGAGTAACTTACCACAATATGTCACTGGCGTTGATGGCGGAAAGCTGCATGTGAATGAGCTGGGAGCACAGAGGGCCAAGCCTGTCACGGAGCTGCCACCCCGTCAGCTTGAAACTCTGCTGAAGGCGAGGACATCGATATGCTGGGCTCCAACAAAAATTTTCACCGATAGTTGCTCGCGGAGTTGCATTTCCATGATAAACGAAGTTGTTAATGACTGATATATCGAATCGTTCGGACGACACTCGAGCCATCAGATGGCGTTCCGTTGTCGGCCGCGCGGGGGACTTCCAGATGGATGCCCACAAGGGGACGTTATGGAGAATAGACGAATGGCTAGAGCAGGGTACGGAGGGGGAATTGTGGGTGAACCGGGAGCTGTTAGTGTCCGAGTCCGTCGATTGGAGGTCAGGCACAAGGCCCATGGCGCAAAAATGCAGGTACCGTGCAAGCCGTGAAATAGCGCGCATGCTGGGGAGATTTGTCCAATGTTGGTCTCCACAATGGGTCTCCAACGGGGCGCATTGAAATTGGTCCTTTTTTCTCTCTCTCAGATATTGGCATCTTGGAATCGCAATTGGGCAGCGGCCCAGGCCCTGACGTCGTTCCATTGCATCTCATTGCACAACCGATGGAATACGCCCCCGTTCGCCGATTGAGAGCGAGATTGGCTGCGCTTGTGCGATATGATGTTGCAGTGCTATGTGCTATATCCGTCTACACCAGCCAATATGTGCAATATGCGTGCATGTATCGCGTACCGTGCCGTGGGAACGAGAGTTCTGGAGAGAGGGGCCGGATGGAATGCGCGGCACGGCTCAAGCGGGTGCAGGCGAAGAGCAGAATCTTCTCCGGCGCCCCTCGGTAGATCCTCATCAGGCGATACCTGTCAGGTCAGTACCGTCGATTGGGGAGGACAGGCCGCTGGTTGGCACCGTCATGATCGGTGAACGAGTGTACCGTTCCAGCATGATGTGCGCCAGACTATCGTTGATGGCGACGGCCGAGCAGTCACTCACCTCTCACAGGTGCGTCAGGCCATCCATAATCGCAGCATCGAAGCATGTAGAAAAGCAACTTGCTACGTCCGCGGCAGCTGACCTGTTGTCTCAAGCCCTGCTCGTCAATGCTTCTATGGGGCGGAAACAAACAGACAGACAAAGTTGCCAGGATCTAAATGACTTTGCGCTAGAAGTCAATGGACTGACGGTGAGAAGCGGAAACAGAGCAGGCTGGGTCGTCGGTGAGGGTGACGACGTAAGTGTCGCCGCCGCGTAGCCGCGGGCTGGGTCCTAGCACATCAGGGTGAAGGAATAGAGGTTCGGATGCTTGGAAATACCAACGCTGCCGAGGGCGTCGTCACCTCCATTTTGGCGTGGTGGGGGAGCCTTGAGCTGTCAAGGTCAGCCTGCAGCAACCATCGGATTGACGACGAACGGCGACTGGTCCGCGGCAAGTAGAGTTTTTGCCTCTTGAGATAGAACACGAGATGGAAAGGAGGGTGGAGGGATGGACGCTGTTGGCTGCGCACGCAATTGCAGGCTGAGTTGGCTGGGCGTCAGCGAGCATAACAGCAGCGTCAACAGAAGCAGGCTGAGATGGCAATATGCTCACATTCCCATGGGCGGCGAAAAGAAGAAGGCGCTTGGGGGAGACACACAGAAGGTACCTCGTCTGGGCTGTTGATGGCGCGCGCGCCATCTTTCGGGCGAGAGATGTAGCTGTCGGCGCTGAAAAAGAGAATGAGTCTTGTCCCCTCCCTTGCTGCGCCTCGAAAGACCCAGATCGACAGGAACCTCCCCAGGACCCCCTCGTCATCGGGCCAGAACGAGAAAAGCGGGTACCAGAGCATGGGCGAGAGTCAGAGACTGGCGCAAATCAGGTCTTGGGGCATCTCTTGACTCCCTGAGTCTTCTTTGGCCCAGTTGCGGCGGGTGTCACTTGCGGTGGACTGAGGTGAGATGGACCATTTGCCCACTGGATTGTGCCATTACGGATGCCGGAGGTGGACGCGACGTTGTCACGCTGGACGGTCGACCAGGGCCGCTGCTCGCCCCAGCTGAATGGATGGAAGGGTTCTCTCAGAGACCCCAGCTCAAAAGACCAATAGGGGCGCTCGGGCGACTCCGGGGCACATGGGTAAGAGAGGGGGGACGTTGAGCGAGCTTCGCGGTCGACGACGGTCGTTGGAAAAAAAAAACTGGAGGTGTGTTGTCGGCAACTAAGGTACCTAACAGTTCGGGCGACGGCGCATAACGTACGCGCGGGCAGAGTGGTTACCCTTCCAGCTGTTCCAGGCCAGCTAACGCCTCATTAGACAGCTCAGCTTTAAGGTAGGTGCTGGTAAGCAGCTAGGAAGACAGCCTAAAGTCGCAAGCTGTAACAGGTGCAGCATCGTCTGGCAGGAGAGAAGCGTGCTGTTGAAAGCAGCAGCGAAAGAAGGAGACGGCGCACCACAGAAACCTGAAGCCTGGTGCTCGTTAGCGTGTGGCCTCGGGTTCGCCATGTTCCTCTCTGCGACAGGGGTCCCCGTCCAAGAATTTTCTGCCCCAACCCTGATTAAGCTTAGCGCCGCGCCCCTG